CCCGGCAGGTGCACCAACTCGGCTAGGGCCGAATAAAGCCTAGGCTTTATTCGATCGCAGCGAGTTGGTGTTCTAAATCCATTTCCGTGTTTGTTTATAGTACATTGGAGATTGAATTTGTTGGTTAAAACACTCATTAAAAGCTCTACTTCTTCTAAAGTGAAAGAATTTGTACAAAGATAAAGTGATCGTTGGGTTTGTGGAAACAACCATCGTCACAGAGCCAATAGCATAAAGACAAAGGAGTTAACAAGTCCCCTATGTTTACTAACACCAATTTTTCTAGGGACCCATGGCCCATGAAAAATTAGGTGCGCCGAATCGTAGATTCCGGCGTGATGGCTCAATTATAATTGAGCCTTCATTAGAAAGGTATTATTTTTTTCCCGCGTCACCCCTGGGGTGTTTGCACCTAGGTGCAAACACCCTCTGGGTGACGCGGGTAAAAAAGATTCCCCAACTCAACAAAACACGCCCCTATTTTGTTTAAGGACCGTAGGCCCATAAAAAAATAGGAGTTTTGCATCGAAGATGCAAAAGTAACGAGCAGCTGCCGGTCGTAGATCGCTCCATCTTACGATGGAGCGGCCCTGACCCGGCAGCTGCAGCAACTCTCCGTGGCCGAATAAAGCGTAAGCTTTATTCGATCGCAGCGAGAGTTACTCCTCGTCACCCAGAGGGTGTTTGTACCTAGGTGCAAACACCCCAGGGGTGACGAGTGAATCACTGGCGGGTATTAAAATATATTGATTTAGAAATTTTTCCAGTGATTTTGTTAGGGGGCCGGATTTTGATTATAGGAGCTTTACCGCAATAGTCCCTGAATAATTCATACAAGTGCATAAGATAGAGTGGCCTGCTTTAACGCTAATGCGTTAAAACGGGCCACTCGAGTCTTCATGTATAATACCTTGTTCAAATTTGAATCTGTTATTAACTCCTTGTTTTTGACAATAACCATCGCCAAGCAGAACAGCTGCCGGTCGTAGATCGCTCCATCTTACGATGGAGCGGCCCTGACCCGGCAGCTGCGCCGGAATCTACGATTCGGCGCACCTAATTTTTCATGGGCCATCGGTCCATAGAAAAATTGGTGTTTGTTTCAATTCATCAGTAAGAACTAATTGTTCTTTTTCTAAGTCGGTTAAACGGCGTCGTGTTAAATCCTCAGGAAGAGTAAATTTTTCTTTTTCTGCATTTGTTAATAGTTTTGGTTTAACAGGCAATAAAGAAAAATATAATACGGTATTATCAACACCTAAATTAGCATCTGGAGAGATTTCGATGCTTTGACTTGTTAAAGTCACATGGAATAGATCACTAAAGACAACTATATCAGATCCAATTGACTGAATATAAACGACATTAAATGACAATGCCGCGATATAAAGTAGAGCATTAGTTTCCATTCTAATAAAAAAAGGAGATATTCGAAGAGAAGGTAGCGCAATGGCTAAAAAAATAATCAAAATACTAGCAAAAAGCATTATAACCCCCGGCACAGGCAAGAGTGGCCTGCTTTAACGCTAATGCGTTAAAACAGGCCACTCAAGCAATAATAGTGCTGTCGTGTCGGCTTAACCCAGCCGACCCTCACTAGGATAGCGGCCCAAGTTAAAAGGATAATATCATATTTCCGTTACCCCGCCGCCATAGCAATCGTGCTTTAGCACGATCGTAGGCGGCGGACCTTTAGTCGTGCTAAAGCACGACTGAACGGTCGCGGATTAATGATGCAAGGAAAAAATTACCAAAAATAACACTTGCATCTCTTTGATGAAATTTTCCACCCTAAAGGGGTGCGGTCGACCCAGTTACTTAACGTGGTATGCCGTATTTTTAAAGATAAAAATACGAAGTGGGCTGGTGCTTTCGGACATGGTGAGATTCGAACTCACGACTCTTTTGGAGTAATCGTTTTCAAGACGACCGTATTCAACCACTCTACCACATGTCCTATTTTCTGTTAACCCCCTCTGCAGAGGTTGGTAGGGTGAGACATTGGGAGGTACCCTGAAACTCTTAGGTTCCCCCCGATTGGACCATCATGATCCAGCGGGTCACGCTGTTAGATCAGGATGCTCCGCCTGGGGACCAAGGCGGAGCAAATCGGGGCTTTTATGAACACAAAATATTACACAAAAATAGCTGCCGGTCGTAGATCGCTCCATCTTACGATGGAGCGGCCCTGACCCGGCAGCCGCCGGAATCTACGATTCGGCGCACCTAATTTTTCATGGGCCATCGGTCCATAGAAAAATTGGTGTTTGTTAGGGCGTCACCCAGAGGGTGTTTGTACCTAGGTGCAAACACCCCAGGGGTGGCGTCAGTGACGCGGAGTGGAGATTTTATCTCCACTCTGGAAGACGTGAGGACTTACCCCGCTTAAATCCAGGGTATAACCCTGGATTTAAGCCAGTGCTGCGCAAGGTTTATCCTCCGTCGGCGGGGGAGTACTGCATAATTTTCGCTTCCTTTTAAGTTGAAGTCCCAGAAGCTAAAGAAATAGCCAAAAATATTATCATCTCTTTTAAAAACTTTTGCTATTTTTCAAACACCAAGTCGCTGCGATCGAATAAAGCCCCGACCGAATCCACCTCCCTTGAGGTGGATTACGGCGCCGAATCCATCTTTGGATCAGCTGCCGGTCGTAGATCGCTCCATCTTACGATGGAGCGGCCCTGACCCGGCAGCTGCAGCAACTCTCCGTGGCCG